CACGCAAGATTCCTTGGGCTATGCTTCAAGTGATTGATGGAGTTTAGTTTTACGCTGCATTCAGCAATATTCCAGCTATATGGCGGCGGTGTGTAAATAATCGAGTCTGGACCAGACAATCCAGTGATCAACAGCATGAGCATCGATCTGAGCAATTGGAAACCGATGACATGTGTCAACCAAGCCAGCGAGCTTGACCACCCGATCCCGTTAGTCGCCTCTTAGGACATGCATGACTGATGATCAATATTCTAACCCGGACCTTCACGTGTACTATGCGTTCAAGGAACACGAAGATTTTATTTCCTACCGCAAACACTGGTAGGTATATGTCATACTGGGTTTGTACACTTTCAGGGTTTGTACCCAAACTCTACACGTAGGTATATGTCTACATGGGTTGCAATTAATTATATCTGAGAAAGACATTTGGTATGAAAGATGTACTTGTTAATATCAAAATTGTTTATTAAATGTCCATTACATATAGATTAAGTTACATAAGTATGCTCCCTCCTCAGGAGGCGAGAGACATATATGGAAATATACCAGTATCGCATATGATTACATGAAAAACCTATTAGACACTTGATTGTAAGAGACGGGCTCAGCTCTGCAGACAATATGTCCCTATTGTCCGCCCACAAAGCAACCTACATCTGTGACTCGCCAGCACACTGGGGCCAGCACAATCTCCTTGCCACCTCCTCAACGAACAGCTTTCCTCAGTACATTTCCCTGTTTTCAAACAAAGTTGGGTTTCTTTGTCCAAGATCACCAGCAGAAGAATGGCACAAGGTCCAGATCGGGGCATGTTGCCTTTGTACCAGTCATGAAATTCATTTGGCCACACAAAGCTGAGAGATTACGGCACCGTTAAGCATTGATACCGGATACAGGCGTGACACGCGTGACCCTAGTCATGGAAATGAAGTTGATGGTCCTTTTTTCACCGGGGTGATGGTCAGAGAGAGAGACAGAATGTTTCCACCATCTGACCATCTGACATAAAATAATGCTTGAAAGTAAGATGATTATTCCATTCAAAATAGAAAGAATAGTTTTACGCAGGTTTCCAGTTTTGGACAATCTAAGATCATATATATTTGAAGAGTATACCTAATGGAACTACTGATCACCAGCCAGACAGAAAATTGTAGCAATGAAGAGTAACAATATACGTGAGTGGCCGTCTACATTATGTGGTGGATAGAGCAACTGGCCGAGAGCGGATGTCGGTGGCCTGATCCCTGGCCTCGTCATACCATTAACAACTTAAAAGATGGTACATGATATTACCCTGCCTGGAGCTCGCTACTGAAGGGAGAAGGACGGGTAGGCAGGCTCGGATACGGTATGCGGTGTCTGAGATGGCTATAAATGTTTAACTTTTTTCAGAGGCATGACGTCTGAGTGTGGTGGATCACTTTAAACTTGTCATTCGTCTGGAGCAGTCCAAGCATCACTGCTCACATTCACCATCTCATGTAACCTTGTCCTCACCTAACACCAGACCAAGCATTACCGCCTGTCTTTATCTCTCTGCCTCCTAATACAGCCTTGTCCTCATCTGGTACTAGACCAAGCATTACCGCCTGTCTGTATCTCTCTGTCGCCTTCTCATACAACCTTGTCCTCATCTGGCACTAGACCAAGCATTACCGCCTGTCTTCATCTCTCTGTCGCCTTCTCATACAACCTTGTCCTCATCTGGTACTAGACCAAGCATTACCGCCTGTCTTTATCTCTCTGTCGCCTTCTCATGCAACCTTGTCCTCATCTGGTACTAGACCAAGCAATACCGCCTGTCTTTATCTCTCTGTCGCCTTCTCATACAACCATGTCCTAATCTGGTACTAGACCAAGCATTACCGCCTGTCTTTATCTCTCTGTCGCCTTCTCATGCAACCTTGTCCTCATCTGGTACTAGACCAAGCATTACCGCCTGTCTTTATCTCTCTGTCGCCTTCTCATACAACCTTGTCCTCATCTGGTACTAGACCAAGCATTACCGCCTGTCTTTATCTCTCTGTCGCCTTCTCATACAACCTTGTCCTCATCTGGTACTAGACCAAGCATTACTGCCAATCTTTAGCCCACTGTCTCCCTCTACAACCCTGTCCTCACCTGTTACACCCGACCAACCTTGACCGCTAACGTTTACCTTTCTGTGAACCATTCGCCGAGGTTCTTCTCCCTTTTTCCGATCTATCTCTTTAATACCATTTCATTACTTCACTTTTACTTCCACCACCCTATCGCACATCTGCCTCCGACCCGTCCATATTTCCGACATACCCTGAACAAAGAAACCACCAAACTCACATTGTTTTAGCTTACCCCGCCTACCGGAGATGCTGAGTATCCCAGTTGTTCAGTTAAGACAATGCCCTGGGTGATACCCACGTCCAATATTTGACTTCATAAAAACATTTCTCTGTCTGTAAATATTCACCGACTTCATAAAGAAAGTATTCACCTTGAGATCAATTTTTCTTCTTAAACCCGCTAATAACAGGGCAGGCACTGGAATCACTATTGATAGTGGCACACCAACTGTTGGAGAGTCACCGACCACTCATGTGTATTGACTAAGTCACATATTCTGTATTTACGGATTGCTGTATAGGTTTAAGCTTAACAACAACCTAGGACATTAGGGTGTTTACTCGTTTGCTGGGATTAACATTAACTGCGCCGAGGTTTGTCTCGACGCGAGTTAGATAGCATGCTGAACGTACAACTGCTAGCTTCAACATTACCTCTAAATTACCCAACCCTTCTGCATTACCTTTAAATTACCTACCCGTGAAGATCTGGGTCAGAATTGATCTTTAGTAGCCAATGCTTGTCGCAAGAGGGGACTAACGGGATCGGGTGGTCAGGTTAGCTGACTTGGTTGACACATGTCATCGTATCCCAATTGCGTAGAGCGATGCTCATGCTTGATCACTGGATTGTCTGGTCCAGACTCGATTACTTACAGACCGTAAAAACTAAATTCACTCACTCTAAATTACCTCTACATTACATCACTTCTGCATTACCTCCACATTACTTTCACATTACCTCCACATTACCTCAACATTACCTCCACATTACCTCCACATTACTGCTACATTACCTCTACATTACATCACTTTTGCATTACCTCCACATTACCTTCACATTACCTCCACATTACCTCCACATTACCTTCACATTACCTCCACATTACCGCTACATTACCTCTACATTACATCACTTCTGCATTACCTCCACATTACCTTCACATTACCTCCACATTACCTTCACATTACCTCTACATTACCTCCACATTACTGCTACATTATTGCTACATTACCTCCACATTACTGCTACATTACCTCCACATTACTGCTACATTACCTCCACATTACCTTCACATTACCTCCACATTACCTTCACATTACCTCCAGATTACCTTCACATTACCTTCACATTACCGCTACATTATCTCCACATTACATCACTTCCACATTACCTCCACATTACATCACTTCTGCATTACGTCCACATTACCTCCATATTACCCTACCATTACCGCTACATTACCTCCACATTACCGCTACATTACTGCTACATTACCTCCACATTACATCACTTCCGCATTACCTCCACATTACCTTCACATAACCGCTACATTACCTCCACAATACCACTACATTACATCACTTCCGCATTACCTCCACATTACCTCCACATTACATCACTTCTGCATTACCTCCACATTACCTTCACATTACCTCCACATTACCTTCACATTACCGCTACATTACCTCCACATTACTGCTACATTACCTCCACATTACCGCTACATTATCTGCACATTACCTTCACATTACCTCCACATTACCTTCACATTACCGCTACATTACCTCCACAATACCTTCACATTATCTCCACATTACCTTCACATTATCTTCACATTACTGCTACATTACCTCTACATTACATCACTTCTGCATAACCTCCACATTACCTTCACATTACCGCTACATTACCTCCACATTACCGCTACATTACCTCCACATTACCTCCACATTACCTTCACATTACCGCTACATTACCTTCACATTACCGCTACATTACCTCCACATTACTGCAACATTACCTCCACATTACCGCTACATTATCTGCACATTACCGCTACATTATCTGCACATTACATCACTTCTGCATTACCTCCACATTACCTTCACATTACCTCCACATTACCTCCACAGTACCTTCCCATTACCTTCACATTACCTCTACATTACCTCCACATTACCGCTACATTTCTTCCACATTACATCACTTCTGCATTACCTCCACATTACCTTCATATTACCGCCACATTACCTCCACATTACCGCTACATTACCCCCACATTACCTTCACATTACCGCTACATTACCTTCACATTACCTTCACATTACCTTCACATTACCTCCACATTACCTTCACATTACCTTCACATTACCGCTACATTACCTCCACAATACCTTCACATTATCTCCACATTACCTTCACATTATCTTCACATTACTGCTACATTACCTCCACATTACATCACTTCTGCATTACCTCCACATTACCTTCATATTACCGCCACATTACCTCCACATTACCGCTACATTACCCCAACATTACCTTCACATTACCGCTACATTACCTTCACATTACCTTCACATTACCTTCACATTACCTCCACATTACCTTCACATTACCGCTACATTACCTCCACAATACCTTCACATTATCTTCACATTACCTTCACATTATCTTCACATTACCGCTACATTACCTCCACAATACCTTCACATTACCTCCACATTACCTTCACATTACCTTCACATTACCGCTACATTACCTCCACAATACCTTCACATTATCTCCACATTACCTCCACATTACCTTCACATTACCGCTACATTATCTCCACATTACCTCCACATTGCCTTCACATTACCGCTACATTACCTCCACATTACCCTACCATTATCGCTACATTACCTCCACATTACTGCTACATTACTGCTACATTACCTCCACATTACCTCTACATTACATCACTTCTGCATTACCTCCACATTATCTCCACATTACCTTCCCATTACCGCTACATTACCTCCACATTACCGCTACATTACCTACATTACCTCAACATTACATCACTTCCGCATTACCTCAACATTACTGCTACATTACCTCGACATAACCGCTACATTATCTCCACATTACCTTCACATTACCTCTACATTACCTTCACATTACCGCTACATTATCTCCACATTACCTCCACATTACCGCTACATTACCTCCACATTACATCACTTCCGCATTACCTCCACATTACCTTCACATTACCGCTACATTACCTCCACATAACCTCCACATTACCTCCACATTACCGCTACATTATCTCCACATTACATCACTTCTGCATTACCTCCACATTACCTTCACATTACCGCTACATTACCTCCACATTACATCACTTCCGCATTACCTCCACATTACCTTCACATTACCGCTACATCACTTTTGCATTACCTCCACATTACCTGCACATTACTGCTACATTACCTCCACATTACCTCCACATTACATCGATTCTGCATTACCTCTACATGACCCATACATTGCCTCTTCATTACCTCTTCATTACCATCTCCACATTACATTTTTTCTACATCACATCTAGATTACCTCAACATTGCATTACCTCCAGATTACCCCCACGTTACCTCTTTATTACATCACATCGACACTGTGTATTACCTTACCTTTACATTACGTCTACATTACATCATCTTCACGACTGTATTATTCTGCGTGTCCTCTACTGTATCTCTACCTTACCTCAACCTTATCTTTGCATGATCCCTCTGTTACCTCAAGATTTCGCTACGTCTGAAAATATCACTGACAATATTTCAGAGGTCTAGATATTTGACATACGTTTAGTAGGCTTTTGCTGCCAAAATATTTGCAAGTCGGATGAATGTCTTAACCTGCTTGCCAGCACTAATGTCTGATGGACCGTCCAGCTTACTCTCTCGTACATCCCAGTGAATGCAGTAGGATGAAAAAAATTTCCTCCCTGACTAAAATAACAGAATAATACAGTTCTAATTATCCCTTGATCGGAAGTTGATATCAGTGGCGTTTGTCTGGGCTGACAACCCGCGAGAGGCAGGGCCAAGTCGGTAGGTCGCTGATTGTCACTGACAGAAGGGGATCAATACCGTCCACACTGCAGTCATAGTTAGCTGGCTTTGTGTAAGCATAATATTTTAATAACGGCGGAAAACCACTTATGGGGGGATTAGGGGAAAGGCATTGATATCACTCTCTTTTCTAATAAGAGTTGGGCATCGAAAGTTATGAGATTCTATCAGGAAATTAAGAACGTGGAAGTCTTGGTGACAGTGAACGTGGTGGAGGGTCGGAAGCTGGCAGGTCCTCCAGAGAGTTGGATCTGTATCCTCCAGACACAGGAGTTAGCCAACCATTGTGTCTCACATTCTATATACACATCCGTGATGACAGTACGCTTAAACCTAATGATATACATGCATACAACCGTACGCACGTACTTATGTATGCATGCATGCATGCATGCATGTATGTATGTATGTATGTATGTATGTGTGTGTGTGTGTGTGTGTGCGTGCGTGCGTGCGTGCGTGCGTGCGTGCGTGCGTGCGTGCGTGCATGCATGCATGTATGTATGTATGTATGTATGTATGTGTATGTATGTGTGTATGTACGTGTATCTGTGAGTATCTGTGTTTGAATGCATATATATATATGAATAGACGCGCACACAGACACAGAGTGAGGGGGTACCCTTTAGTCGTAACTGGGTGTTTTTCTTTACAGATAAAATGAGTGTTTGATAACAAAGCATGAACATACATGCTGGTGCTCCATGGTGGCGACCTACACCAACAGGGGTGTAAAGGGATCAAGAGTTAATGGACGTTGTTTGCTGTGCTACCACACATGCTATTACCGTGACTTGGACATTCTCGAGACTCATGTACAGTTGTATGTACAGTAATTGAAGCGGTGACGACAGAGGCTTGGTTCACTGAGCAGGACTGACTCCCCGTTATCTGGACGACGGGTGCCTAGCAATAGGGAAGAATACTTGTATATTCAGTGTGAAATATAAGTGTCACATTCTATGAATTATGTCCATAACATTTGACCCCCGGGCATGTGAATATTCATATCCAAAAGCAATTTATCATCCGTCTTAATGTTTCATACATCACCATGAGGTTGGTTCAGTTTGCTTAGTGAATATCAACGTGCGATTCGGATAGTGAGTATCAACGGGTGATATTTGCGACTTTACATTTTGAAGAAATTATTTGGAATGATGAAGAGCCGTCATGTGTCGTCGCCACAAGACGCATAACTGGACGATCTGTTTAAAATTAAGGATGCATTTATTGTACTGAAGAGATTGATATACATCTGGAAATCTTTGATCACCACACACACGCGCGCGCACCAACAACAAATTACTGGGTGTCAGTTACAGAATATCACATAGAACATGATCATATCTTCGGGACGAGTGAAGGCTGAGCTTAGAGCTGATGATTATCCCAGTCTGGCTGATTAATCAAGCATTGGCAAGAACACATGCACCCAGGCCATTCTCAGATCAACCCCGAGATATGCAACATAAAATACAATCATTTCCTTACAAACGTGTGCCTGGAACTGCTGCTAGTAACGACTTAATATCCCGTCAAAGGGAGATCACTTAGGGCCGGGCACTTGAAAGCCCTGCAGTCATCGGTAAGGTCATTGTCTTGACCATTACGACCAATAAACTTATTGATGCCTGAATATCGTATTTGACAACGGCTTGTCGGCAGGCATCAAATAAATCCAATGAAGATGTAGACAGGTACCCGTGGATGCTGCCCGCAGAGACGGCAGTTACCTGAAGTCTAATTAGCAATTCAGATTGGTGTGAGACCATCAATATTGGTGATCTCATATGGTCGTACTCCCTTTGTGGCCCAGGGTCGATGTGCGGCTGTCCATGCCTTTGTCCGCCTCTGTTGATAAATGATTCTAATGTCCATTACGCTTTTTTCATCATTGGTGCAGGATGTAGACTTAGGTCAACGCCTTGTCGTAACTTACCATAAGCCAGCCCAGCCCGCCTCGAGACCCGTCTCAATGCATGGCCCTGATCGGCGCCGCCCGCACTCACCAAAACATGTGTAGAAGTAAATGACTTGTAAACAGACAATGTTGATACATACTCCTCACTGTTCTCCAATAACCATTTGTTTGCACATCACTGTACATCGGTCTTTGATGTAGGAAGTCAATCCCACTCTCCATATTTCATCAGTTCACTGGACTGTTTGTCCTCGCGTTAATTTAGGCGTTATATATCGTGGGAACAAGGTTGTTATATCGTTTGAGAGTTTAGTAAGCACAATTCATTATTATGATACCAACAGAGACTATAAATTCACAGTATTAGTGCTATCCTGTACCTTATTACCAGCATATGGCGATCATCAAATATGAATAGAATGGTTCATTTATATCAGCATGGATCCCTCATTTCATTAAGGTCACATGCAACGTAAAACACAACTTTGCAGATTCTGATACCTTTCGGTATGGACTTACCGAAACAAATCGTCAAAAATGCAAATTCAACTTATAAAGTTGAAAAAACCTGCGATGAAAAAAACCGCGCGAAATCGGAGTTCAAACGTTTCACTAATTTTCCCCAGACTTTTCTGGGGAAAACGGGTTTCAATAGCTCGGCTGCGCTTATAGCACGTGCGCAGTGAAGTAGGTTCGCACAGCTTGGAAGCGGTTGTCCGGTGAATACTCGGTGAGGGCTTTGGTGTGAGCTATTTTTCTAATGTTTTGTTGATATCTCACAGGCGCGAGCTTTTTATATGTTATGACAGTAAATTAACTGTTTATATAATTTCATTTGTCTATTTCACCACACGTTCTTCTTACCGAGTCACTTTCTCAGTTCGATACTTAAAAGCAATGCCATTATTTAGCGTTGACAGAATTTCCAACTGTGATATAGATATGTCGTTGTCACAGACTAAACTCAATGTCTTGTTTTATTGACACCTGTGTGTCTGCCTGCCTGTCTGCTAATGACAATATTCAATACACAGCTGCTATCACTGACCACATGCAATTTGAACTTAACACCAATGAGGCTGTACACCATAAACAAAACGCATTGATTTATGGCCCGAGTTCGGTCTCTCTCACATTATGTAATTACACAGACAGGCAGGTGTGATACTTGAACACATGACATGTTATGATGTCTGTTGATTGCAAAATGTTATACACAAAAAATGAGCATGTATTTACAAAACCCAACATCTCTATATATACACACACAATGACCCGTGAGGGCATCTGCAAATGAACCAGCCGTTACACTTGAGTGCACACCCACCCGCTCTGACTGGGTTCGGTGTCCCGGCTGCTTCGTTTCTTGGGAAGTAAACCGAAGTACACAATATTGCACTTTTGATTTGCGATTGTACGCTTATAATTTTGTTTATATGTTTTTTCATAACCAGCAATGTATATTATATGTCACGAATAAGTGATAATTGTGTTTTAATTATGTTTGATATTTTGGTTGCATGTGACCTTTAAATGATGGACAGTTTCCCTAGACAGGATGCTTTACCTAGTATTACACATTTTGCCTTGTCAAGAAATTCATTCAAAGTCATCCTTGAAATAATTCATCAAACCTTATGCACGTTTGTAGAATCTCATATTTTTATGGAACTGTTTTAATGAGTATTTGATTAAAATGTACGATGTGCCTTCAAAAGTACAAGACGTTCCACCCCACCAACATACTTAACAACTAACAAGTATAGGATCGCTACAAATGTTGACAGCAGTCCGCAGGTATAAAGATGGCCGACCTTGTTCTACGTTGTTTGACAGATGGATCATGTGGTCACATGCCTGCTCAGTCAGAGGCGAATCATAAAATATTTCTACAACAGGGATTACCCAGATTTAGAAGTTATCAAATACCGACAGAGTACAGTCGTTCAACATTCAGAGCAACATATCATTGCGATTTATGAAGCCGGATTACACTAAAGGTTTCGACACGCACATTAAATCAACCGTCCTTGAGACACGAGAATAGAGGTAATTATGCGCATCTTCAAACAATCCAAATGCTTCATGATGCCTTTAGCATTTCTTAATCTGGGGAATGATCCTTTATCTTCAATAAAACACCCCGTAGTTTGTGGAGATTTGGGGGAAATCCCCCCAACCAAATAGCAAGATTAATATGCATGCTGTCCCCCTCAGGGAGTCGTTCCCTCATATCCCAGTGCCATGCACTCTATGCGATGCCCAGTCTGACCACTGCTTCCAGCGACTGACCACTCTGTGAACTGGGAGAAAGACGTGGTCATTTAAGGAATAATTAATTTGCTGTTGGACAATCCCACTTCATAAGACAGGTCTGACACGTGCAAAATTGAATTATCTGACAAATCTTTTTGTTCCTCGATGTGTCCGACTGTGGTCTCAGCCCCTAAAGGGTTTCAGCCTAAAGAATATTAATATTCTCACATAGAATGTGGCTGTGTGGTTCAGGGGGTTAAACCCTGCCATTATGGATAATGTGAAGGGTGGTATGTTCTCACCGGTCAAGGTCGGGGGTCAACATGGATTACAGCGCCATCTGGAGAATAACGTTCAATTACGTCTTTGAAAGTTTTGTATGTACCGTTAACTGTCAGTTCTCTCAGTGTTGTTGATATCCCACGCAACCCATAAAGGGCATACCCACATTCTCTAATGTTCTAAAAGGATACTGGTTGTTCTCAAATAACTTCGTACAGACAAGCAGGTAGAACTGCACAACGTGAGGGACCTTTACCAACATGGACATGGGTAGGCATGCCCTGTGTACGTCTGTATGTCTGTCCTTCCTTGATTCAAGTCACATTATCTCCACACTTCTTTTAAGTTCTGCAACCTGCCATATATACTTCGCGCTGGCTCAGTGTAAAACGACCCCAGTACGGCTTAAAGTCTTACGCTCACGCAGGGAGTCCTTTCATATAACCTACAAACTGATTCCAGCCATATAGTAAACACACTGAATCTAGCCAAATAACCCACAAACTAATTGTCGTCATAGAATCCACATTCTGATTCCAGTCACACATACTGTACACTGCTTCCAGTCATATAACCACCAACCTGATTCCCACCATATAGCCAAAACTGATACCCATCATACCACCTACACTGATTCTCACTATACAGTCTACACTGATTCTCACTATACAGCCTATACTGATTCCCGTCATATCACCTACACTGATTCTCACTATACAGTCTACACTGATTCTCACTATACAGTCTACACTGATTCTCACTATACAGCCTACCCCGATTCTCACAATACAGTCTACACTGATTCTCAATACAGCCTACACTGATTCTCACTATACAGCCTACACTGATTCTCACTATACAGTCTACACTGATTCTCACCATACAGCCTATACTGATTCTCACTATACAGCCTACACTGATTCTCACTATACAGTCTACACTGATTCTCACTATACAGTCTACACTGATTCTCACAATACAGCCTACCCCGATTCTCACAATACAGTGAACACTGATTCTCAATACAGCCTACACTGATTATTACTATACAGCCTATAATGATTCTCACTATACAGTCTACACTGATTCTCACTATACAGTCTACACTGATTCTCACTATACAGCTACACTGATTCTCACTATACAGTCTACACTGATTCTCACTATACAGCCTATACTGATTCTCACTATACAGCCTACACTGATTCCCATCATACCACCTACACTGATTGTCACTATACAGTCTACACTGATTCTCACTATACAGCCTACACTGATTCTCACTATACAGTCTACACTGATTCTCACTATACAGCCTATACTGATTTCCATCATACCACCTACACTGATTCTCACTATACAGCCTACACTCATTCTCACTATACAGCCAACACTCATTCTTACTATACAGCCTATACTGATTCTCACCATCACCATCACCTACACTGATTCTACACTGATTCTCTATACTACACTGATTACCATCACCAGATTTACTGTACACCTACACTCATTCCACTATACAGCCTATACTGATTATCACCTATACAGACTACACTGATTCACATCATTCTTCACCATCATACCACCTACACTGATTCTCACCATATACAGCCTACACTGATTCTCACTCATACAGCCTACACTCATTCTCACTATACAGCTAGTCTACACTGAATCTCACCATACAGTCTACAGCCTACACTGATTCTCACCATACAGTCTACACTGACTTCTCAATACAGCCTACACTCGACTCAACATATCACCTACACATACATTCTCACTATACAGCCCACACTGATTCTCACACCATACAGCCTTACACTGATTCTCACACTATACAGTCTTACACTGATTCTCACTATACAGTCTACACTGATTCTCACTCATACAGCTCTACACCTTGATTCTCACCATACAGCCTATACTGATTCCTCACTATACAGCCTATACTGATCTCCCATCATACCACCTACACTGATTCTCACTCATACAGTCTACACTGATTCTCACTCATACAGCCTCACTACAGTCTACACTGATTCTCACTATACAGCCTATACTGATTTCCACTCATTGATTCTCACCATACAGCCTACACTCATTCTCACAATTATACAGCCAACAACCATTCTACTTACATACAGCCTATACTGATTCCCATCATATCACCTACACTGATTCTCACTCATACAGCCTACACTCCATCATTCACTGATTCTCACTATACAGCCTACACTCACTACAGCCAACACTCATTCTCACTATACAGCCCATACTGATTCCCTCACCATATCACCTACACTGATTCTCACTATACAGTCTACACTCACCACTCACCATACACTGATTCTCACTTATACTCACTGATTCTCACTATACAGCCTATACCTGATTCCAATCATACCACCCACACTGATTCTTTTCACTGTACAGCCTTCACACTGATTCTCACTATACAGCCTACACTCATTTTCACTATACAGCCTATACTGATTCTCATCATACACCTACACTGATTCTCACTATACAGCCTACACTGATTCTCACTATACAGACTACACTGATTCTCACTATACAGTCTACATTGATTCTCACTATACAGCCTACACTCATTCTCACTATACAGCCTATACTGTTCCCATCATACCACCTACACTGATTCTCACTATACAGTCTACACTCATTCTTACTATACAGTCTACACTGATTCTCAATACAGCCTACACTGACTCATCACTATACAGCCCTACACTGATTCTCACTATACAGTCTACACTGATTCTCACTATACACTGTCATACAGCCTACACTGATTCTCACTATACAGCCTCCACTGATTCTCATACAGTCTACACTGATTCTCACTCATACAGCCTACACTGATTCTCACATATATTCTACACTGATTCTCACTATACAGTCTACACTGATTCACCACTATACAGCCTACACTGATTCTCACCATACAGTCTACACTGATTCTCACTCATACAGTTCACACTGATTCTCACTATACAGCTTACACTGATTCTCACTATACAGCCTACACATTCTCACCTACAGTCTACACTGATTCTCACTCATACAGTCTACACTCATTCTCACCTACACTGATTCTCACTATACAGCCTTCTACACTGATTCTCACTATACAGTCTACACTGATTCTCACTATACAGTCTACACTGATTCTCACTATACAGCCTATACTGATTCTCGTCATACACTCCACACTGATTCCTCACTATACAGTCTACACTGATTCTCACTATACAGTTCACACTCGATTCTCACTATACAGCCTACACCTGATTCTCACAATACAGCTCTACACTGATTCTCATATACAGCCTACACTGATTCTCACTCATACAGCCTACACTGATTCTCACTATACAGTCTACACTGATTCTCACTATACAGCCTATACTGATTCTCCGTCATATCACCTTACACTGATTCTCACTCATACAGTCTACACTGATTCTCATTACAGTCTACACTGATTCTCACTATACAGATTCTCACTACACACTGATTCTTACAGCCTCTGATTCTCACTATACAGTCTACAGATTCTCACTATACAGCCTATACTGATTCCCCTGTCCTATACCTACACTGATTCTCACTATACAGTCTACACTGATTCTCACTATACAGTCTACACTGATTCTCACAATACACTGATTACACTGATTCTCACTACAGCCTACACTGATTCTCACTATACAGCCTACACTGATTTCTCACTCATACAGTCTACACTGATTCTCACTCATACAGTCTACACTGATTCTCACCATACAGCCTATACTGATTCTCACTCATATACAGTCTACACTGATTCTCACTATACAGCCTATACTGATTTCTCACAATACAGTCTACACTGATTCCTCACTAATACAGCCTACACTGATTCTCATTATCACAATACAGCTCTCATACAGCCTGATTATTACTATACAGCCTATAATGATTCCCACTCATACAGTCTACACTGACTCTCACTCTATACAGCCTACACTGATTCTCACTATACAGCTACACTGATTCTCACTATACAGTCTACACTGATTCTCACTATACAGCCTATACTGATTCTCACTATACAGCCTACACTGATTCCCATCATACCACCTACACTGATTGTCACTATACAGTCTACACTGATTCTCACTATACAGCCTACACTGATTCTCACTATACAGTCTACACTGATTCTCACTATACAGCCTATACTGATTTCCATCATACCACCTACACTGATTCTCACTATACAGCCTACACTCATTCTCACTATACAGCCAACACTCATTCTTACTATACAGCCTATACTGATTCTCACCATATCACCTACACTGATTCTCACTATACAGCCTATACTGATTTCCATCATACCACCTACACTGATTCTCACTATACAGCCTACACTCATTCTCACTATACAGCCAACACTCATTCTTACTATACAGCCTATACTGATTCTCACCATATCACCTACACTGATTCTCACTACACAGCCTACACTCATTCTCACTATACAGCCTACACTCATTCTCACTATACAGTCTACACTAATTCTCACCATATCACCTACACTGATTCTCACTATACAGTCTACACTGATTCTCACTATACAGCCTATACTGATTCCAATCATACCACCTACACTGATTTTCACTGTACAGCCTACATTGATTCTCACTATACAGCCTACACTCATTTTCACTATACAGCCTATACTGATTCCCA